AAAAACCAAGAGATAAGAGGATGTGCTGGCCACAAAAATTCCACTAACTTGACATTTACGTATGAGCATTGTAATTAAGAAGTTAACAGGAAAAAGCATTATCATTACAGCTACACCACTAAGTACGGAGATTCCAATCTGATTCCACAAGAAAAACAACGCTAGTCCAATCTTAAATAAGAACTACATAAATTTCAGATTTGACTACAACGGGCAACTTTCCAATGTACCTGAAGCGGGTTGCTCCAGTACTGCATAGTTTGGGGTGCGATTTGTTGAAAACGGTCAATGTCGATGGACATCAAGTTGACAATCTCGCCTACAGTTTTGGACCGTCGTGCTGCATTAGAAAGCCTCAAGGTCTGGAAAACAAAAATTAAAAAAAAAAACAAATGCCGTATCTTATAATTTGCTAGGTCCCACCTTCCTGTACACCGCTGCGGTTAAGCACGTCTGCACTCTGGTTCCAACTCTGTACATAAGGTAGTAGTAATGTGACAGCATCAAAGATGATAGCTCAGATGTAGTGAACATAGTCAATGCAAGAATAATTCCTTCCCATAGTGGCCGTTCCGAATTTTCAGTGAATCGAATAAGAGATCTGCAAATGTAGCACTAAGTGTAAACATAATTTTTTTTTGAAGCTGGCATACCTTAACAATAAAGGATTACAAAACTGCAAAAGATCAGAAACAGCTTTTGTAAACATGGCGGTAGTTATCTCCCACTTAAATAGCAGGAATAGGCAATAGATAATTGATGGCGGGCTCACGCAAGGTACACTTGATTGGGAATCGTAATTCTGTATGAAAAGTTAGTATCTCCACTAAATTAACATCACCAATATGAAAAAAAAGACGAAAATTCGTACATCATCATGTTGATTCTGGTCATCAACGTCACTCAAAAGCGGAGTGTTTTGATCACCGTTACTTGATGAGTTCGTACGTCTGCTTTCACTAGAGATCTGTTGAACGCGGCGATTGTTGTAATCTGGAAAAAGCAAAGCCT